GCCCCCCAGAGGCCCGAAGAGGTTTTCGAGAGGCTCCGAGAAGCGCCCGATGGGCGACCAAGAGGCCCCCAAAAGCTCCCTTCAGAGGGCCCACGCAGGCCCCAAAGAGGCCCGTTCCCAAATCTTACCAATTGGGCGAGATGAGAGCCTGAGGACGGCCCGAGAGAGCCAAGACACTGCGTAAGAAACCGCTTGGATAATTCCAGAGGCCGTCATGACGCCCCAAAGAGGTCGATCCAATGACCCATGTCGTTGCGTTGTTTCGAATTTGGAGCGCGCGGGTGCATCCTTGCATGTCATGTGCGCCTGCTCGGTCCGCAGTCTGGTTACTTCCTCAATACATGTTCGCTTCGCGCGCATAGGTTCTAGTTGTATATACGAACGACTGATCTGCAGCAACTTCGCACTCGAGTGCGACAAACGCATTCGCAGTATCGTGTAGCCTCTTGTTGCGTTGGCTTCCCATCTCCCTGCCTCGCAAAAGGAGCTACCCGGACAAGATGGCAAGCAACAGCAGCCCCGAAAGAAGTCTACGGCAGGCGTCAACTGCTTGACACAATGGACGTCTTGTGACCCGGAGACCAACAACAGAAGCATGATTTTCCAGAGTTTCGCGCTGATTTGTCGGATCGGCGCTGGACCCCACTCCCTGGCGCGCGGAGCGCGCTAGGGGCGGCGCCGGAGGCGTTGCCAGACGAGAGCATGGTAACATGGTGCCTACGCGTGAAACGAATGCCAATGATACGTGTTATGATAAAGGTTGTGATGCATCTTTTGATTTTGAGCCGGCTATGATGCCGACTCGTGCCCACCCCGTCCCGTCGTCAGGGATTTCGCATCTTTTTTACGATGGTGGGATGGGAAGACGGGCCGTCACCCCAGGCATTGCACACGTTTGGTGCAAAGTTCGCGGTGATCTGGTTCGACCCCGCAGCCCCCACGATGGGAGCTGCGAAGAGCGTGAGGCCTCGTGGCAGTCCTCACTTGTGAGGCCTATGGTGGTCCTCGCCACTAGGAGTCAGCCGCGCGCAAAGGGGGGTGGGGGACGGGGGGAAGGTACCCGTCCTCGTCCTCCTCCTCCTCCTCCTCCTCCGCCCTCCTCGTCGTCGTCGTCGTCCTCCTCCTCCTCCTCCTCATCGTCCTCCTTTTCCTCCTCCTCCTCCTCTTCCTCTTCCTCTTCCTATCCTCCTCCTCCTCCTCCTCCTCCTCCATCTCCTCCTCCTCCCCACCCTCATATCCTCCTCCTCCTCTTCCTCCTCCTCCTCTTCCTCCTCCTCTTCCTTTTCCTCCTCTTCCTCCTCTTCCTCCTCCTCCTCCTCTTCCTCCTCTGGTCGCCTACGGCTCCGAAGGAAACCGAGCAGACCCCTCCCCCCTGGCCGTTGCCCCCCCCCCTTAGGTTATTTTAGGCCCCCCCGCCACCAAACGACGCCGCGGAAGCGCATTCGACCAAAAGGCTCAAAGAAGTCAGCGTCGGCAGTTGCGTGCCCCGAGCTGACCCACACTTGCGTGCGGCGTGAAGCGGGCTGCGGGGGCCCATCTTCATCACTCCAATTGTCTCCGCTATCTCCCTCCTCCTCCGCCTCCTCCTCCTCCTCCTCGTCCTCCTCCTCCTCCTCCTCCTCCTCCTTCTCGTCGTTTTCCTCCGCTCCCTCATCATTTGCCTCCCCTCTCCGCCCAGGGGGAAGGAGGGAGGGGGGGGCGGCGGAAGGCGGCACGGAGGGGACGGGGGGCAGAAGGGAGGGGACAAGGGAAGGCCCAAGCCAAGGCTGGAGTGGATGAGAAGGAGGTTTTTCTTGCAATGACAAGGGATGGACGTGAGGGGGAGGCGGGGGAGGAGGAGGTGGACGAGGATGGGGGGAGGCGCAGCAACATACGAATACTGACATTCATAAGAAAATGAAAAAAGAGGACGATGACGAAGGCGAAAACGAACACACATCAGAATACGTAGCCCCTCGCAGTTGCGGATCAGAGCGAGGGGGCGGCGGGGACGTCTGCAGTTTGCGAGGCTCAGAAGAAGCCCGCCGCAGGCGCAAACCTTTCAAGCTATACAACGAGCCCGCCGTAGGCGCCGATGTTTTGCTAAACCGATTTAGGTGGGCCGCGGGTTGGGTCGCAGGTGGAGTCGCGGTTGGGTCGACGGTGGGTCGCGGGCTAAAACGCGGGTGGGTCGCAAACGGGTCGCGGGGTGGGTCGTGTGTGGGACGCTGGGTGGGTCGCGGGTGGGTCGCGGGACGGGTCGCGGGCCGGGTCGCGGGGGGGACGACCAACAACAACAGCAGCAACACCAGCATCAACAACAACAACAACAACACCAACAACAACAATCATTGCATCATCATGCGTCGTGTTTCCACTTGTCACATGCATTCTTCTTGATACCACATCCCATCCTGGGGGGATTTCTCTGCCATACGGGGTTCGATATTCCCTCGCCCAGATCGCCCGCCCAAGAAAGCATGAAAGCATTGCCACCGCCTCTTCCGATGAACTTCGACATCCACAGTTCGGACGGCACATCGCCATCGCAATCGCCTTGCGCACGCCCCGCATCACGGAGGAGGATGACGAGGAGGGGAGGGAAGATGAGGGACAGGAGGAGGGAGAGGAGGAGCAGGAGGATGGAGGAGGGGGAGGGGAAGGAAGGAGGAACCGTTGTAGTAGAAGTACCTCCGAGGACGAGGTGGTTACTACTCTTCGTTCGAACAGTTGCGCCGCCACCCTGCGGCCTCGGCGCGTGACCCTGAGCGTTCGCGCCCCCAGGCGCTGCCGCTCCCATGCGCGCGTGTTCCGCCTGCCCCTCCACGCGCTCTCGAGGAATCCCGGAAATCAATCCTTCGACCCTCGATCCTTGGAGCCCCTGGAAGTCATCCGTCCTTCTCCTCCTCCGCATAATCTATGCTTTCCAAGCGTGTTGGTCATTTAACAATCAAGCATTAACAGGGACTGTTGGAAGAACCCCCCAAAGGCGATGCCGGAACGAGGGCCCCGGTCTCGAGAAGAAGGCGAGGAAATATCAAACGGGGGCGACGAAGGAGGACGGAAGGGGAAGGGGGGAGGGAGGGGG